AACAAAAGTGTACCAAAAATGTCAGTAATAAAAAAAAAAATTTATATGGTTCTAGTAATATTTTCTAATTTCCATGGGATTTGAGCTAAATACCCTAAAATAAAAAGGTTAAAACTTTTAATTTATAATCATATGGTTTCATATCATTTACAAATAAATGTTAATTATATTTGAGAAATATATTTGCCATAGATATTAAATTAATTGTAATCGCTTGGTAACTAACCACTAACCGGAGAGTGTTCGCAGTAAGTCGCACCCAAACCCAAAACAAAAGCCGATACAGATAAATTTGGGGGAAGTAACTATCTTATCCACCATCGGATCGTGCCCAAAACCCAAAGTTGCAGACTTTGTACTCATGCTAACTTCTCTCTTCCTCTCCGCGCGAGCTTTCCCATCTCCGATCACTAACTCCTCCTTAAATCCTCCTAATCAAAACCCTTCAAACGCCCCCAAAATCCCCCAATTAAGAGAAAACCCAACACTCTCCGATACTCCGATCAAGGTTCCGACTGCTCCATGGATGAAAGCTCCTCTCTTGCTTCGACCCGACGAGGTTCTCGATAAGAGAATCAAGCGACGAAACGTTGAGGAGAAGACGTTCAAGGCGTTAAATCGTAGAGAGAGCGGTGTCAGAGGAAGTAAAGCCATGAAGAAAATCGTCCGTAACGTCGAAAAGCTCGACGAAAACAGCGATTCGGTAGAAACCCAGATGGATAATCCCGGCGAATTCGAGTCCTTGGGTCGAATTGCGGCGGAGATTGAGCCGGTGATGAGATTTGGCGGGAAAATGCCTTGGGATAGAGAAGAAGAGAAGTTCATATTGCGGAGGACGAAGAAGGAGAGAGTCCCGACGACTGCTGATCTTATCCTCGAGGAAGGATTGTTGAAGAGACTTAGACTTGAAGCTTCGAAGATGAGAAAATGGGTGAATGTGAGAAAAGCTGGAGTTACAGAGAACGTTGTGAATGATATTAGATCGATCTGGAGATTGAATGAGCTTGCTATGGTGAGATTTGATGTTCCTCTTTGTCGAAACATGGAACGAGCTCAAGAGATTATAGAGGTTTGGTTAGTTCTTTACTTCGTTGAAACCTTTGTTCTTCTTCTTCTTTGGAAGTTTGAAGAATCTTTTGATGTTAATGTTTTCTCTTATTCATGTTTTGAAGAATAGATGAAGACTGGAGGTTTAGTTGTGTTAAGCAAGAAGGAGTTTCTCGTTGTTTATCGAGGATCATCGAATTCTTCATCAGAGAAAAACAATTCGGTATGTGTCAAGGGACAAGATGAGATTAGCTCATCATTGTATGTGAGAGAAGCTGATAGGTTATTGAATGGTTTGGGACCTCGATATATGGATTGGTGGATGCGAAGACCGTTTCCAGTTGATGCTGATTTGCTTCCTGATGTGGTTAATGGATATAGACCTCCATCTAGACGTTGTCCACCAAACACTAGAGCAAAGCTGAGTGATGAAGAGCTTACCTACTTGAGGAACATTGCTCAAGCTTTACCATTTCATTTCGTCCTCGGTAATTTGCCTTCACTACTTCTTTAGCTGCCTTTCCTCACTTTGTATGATTGTAATACAGAGTTAAGATTCAGGGAGAGTTATTCATATGCTTCCTGTAGAACCAATTCTTGAGTAGGTTAAGAAGTTTGAGAAGATATCACTATATCAGATCAAGATATGGTTCTCATGCTTTCCAAAAGTTGCAATATTTCATGTTTAAGTTCCCCCGCCTTTGTTATTTTCATAAAAGAATGAGGAGACTTGCTAAAACTAGATCTTTTTTCACAAATAGTAGAACCAATTCTTCAGTAGTTTAACATGTTTAAGAAGAGTTAGGTCAATAAATGGTTCTCGTCCTTTCCAGAAATTGCAACATTTGATGTTTTAAGTTCTCTGACTTTGTTCTTTTCATTTTCTTATACTGTTAATCTACACTCGCTTTGCTTCGGTATTAACTAAGTGCTGCTCTCTTTTCATTTCCCCTGTGGGTTTCTTTCTCGAGCTCTCAACAGTCTTTTTTCTCTTCTCTTCTTAATTTGTAAAGGGAGGAACCAAGGGCTTCAAGGTTTAGCTTCCGCTATCGTAAAACTATGGGAGAAATGTATTATTGCAAAGATTGCGATCAAATGGGGAGCTATCAATACAAACAATGAGGAAATGGCAGATGAATTGAAGGTAAATTGTTTTCTTTCTTGAGGCATATTTCTGAATGTCTTCGAAACCGATGTGGCTGAAGCGAGTTTTTGGGCTCTAACATATTTTTCCAGCATCTCACTGGAGGAGTTCTGATACTACGCAACAAATACTTAATAATACTTTACAGAGGCAAGGACTTTCTATCTGATGAAGTTGCGGATATGGTTGATGACAGAGAGAGATTACTCAGACGATACCAACATTTTGAAGAAACCAAACGTGAGAGCGATATAGAAATATTGGAGGTAACAAATGGTAAACAAAGTGAGGAAAAAAGCAAAACCGGAACTTTATTGGAGTTTCAAGAACTTCAAAGAAAATTCGGGGAAATGGAGACGAGAAACCTAGAGACTGAAGCTGAGAAAGCAAAAATAGAAAAGGAAGTCAAAAGCCAAGAACGCAAGCTTTCCATTGTAAGCCTTTTAACTTCACATAAGTGCATCTTTTTAGATTTCACTTATTCTAATATAAGTTCCATGGGCTGCTCTTTTTTTTTTGGCAGCTAAAATCAAAGATAGAGAAATCAACAATGGAATTAACCAAATTGAATTCTTTATGGAAACCATCTGAGCAAGACGATGACGTCGAGATATTGACTAATGAAGAAAGAGAATGCTTGAGAAGAATAGGGCTGAAGATGAATAGCAGCTTGGTTCTTGGTAGGAGCTCACCAGTTCCATTCTTGCCATTTCTTATTCCTTATTTAAGGATTAGAAAAGTGATTTACACATATTTCAATTTGGTATATGTTTCGATTTAGGTAGAAGAGGAGTCTTTGATGGTGTAATGGAAGGTCTACATCAGCATTGGAAGCACAGGGAGGTTGCTAAAGTGATCACAATGCAGAAGATTTTCTCAAGAGTTGTCTACACAGCGAAAGCCCTTGAAGCAGAGAGCAATGGAGTACTGATCTCAGTTGAGAAACTAAAAGAAGGACACGCGATACTCATATACCGCGGCAAGAACTACGAACGTCCTTCATCAAAACTGATGGCACAAAATCTTTTGACCAAACGAAAAGCGTTACAAAGATCTGTTGAGATGCAGCGACTTGGCGTAAGTGAAATGAATGAAAAAAACTTTCCTTTGATTATTTTTTTATTGATAGAATCTTGTAAGCCCCCATTTGAATGAATCTTTTCTCTTTTTGGTTTTGTTGCATTGTGGCAGTCACTGAAGTTCTTTGCTTACCAGAGAGATAGAGCAATAGAAGATTTGAAGGTGAGATTGGTAAATGTTCAAGAGTCTGCTTCTGAGTTTGGTTGATGAAAAATTATATGCAAGGAAGAGCTGTAGAAAGATTTACTAAGGCAGATATACTCTCTTTAACTAGATCACATTTTTTTTTTCATATTGGTAATTTCTGTGAATTGCTCTCAAATATTCTAGTGACTAGTGGTTATCATGTATCATGTATATATCGTTTAATGTTACATTTTCGAATATTTATAGAGAGAAAAAAGACAACCATCATAAATGCAATTTCGGTAAAAAAATATCAAAATGTTAGTCAGCTTATTAATAGAAACTAACATTTTTGTCGTTCTATTTCAACATTGGTATCTATCTAATAGTCGTTGTGGTTTTGACTAATTAGCCTGAAAAGTGGGAGGCAAACTCGAAGGGAAATTTCATACACGCATGCACCCAAGGCACGTAACGCGCATGTTCATAGAATCATTGGGCTAATCTGATTTTTTTTCTTTGGACCAAAATGCTTTAAAAGCCAGACTAATTAGGAAATTTCACCCTGAACAAATATATAACTTTTCAGGCCTTTAAAAAAAAAAAAATCATTTCTTTGTTTTCCATAACATTCTAAAACTTTTAGATTGCTTTCAAACGTTTTAGCACGGAGTAGAGATTACAGAAAAGTGTGAAAAAAAAAATACAGCACCTTTTAGATCGAATCAATCTTCAAATTCATTTTAAAAGTAAAATTACACAGTAGTGGGATCCTTAATTTGTAAGTATTCAAGCTAATCGAAACATTTTGAGTTATACAAATGTTCACTTCTCTCTATCGGTTTTTAGTTTTCTTTCTATAAATATCAGATTCGATTCGAAGCAAAACTGATATAATAACTATCAAAGGCGGGAAAAAATGCTAAAACCGCACTAGCTGGTTTAAGAATATATCTGTGAGATATGGGGGATAGTCGCTTTGAAGACGGAATGGAAGCATGGTTTGGTTCAAGATAAAATAAACCGTGTGAAAAAAAAAGAAATTATTTATGCACTTTATCATTATGTTGCTTGATGTAAAAAAAAAAAAATTTGTTTGAGTAAAATTTTGACATTCAATTCAAAGAAAAAAATCATATCCGCTAGATATATAGTCAACCCAAAGTGTTTTATCGGGCCGCAAAAGCATCTTGCTGTTCTTTCTTGATTGGCATTAGTTCAAACTGTTGAATAATTGAAGGCAACATCATTCTTCTAGTTATTTATATATAGGGATCCATCAAAACTTCAAACTTTTCTAAACCTTTTTTTTAATAAATCGTGGGAATTCCGAACATTTGGTTCATAATCTTTTCGGTATTTGGAAAGAGCCTTTGAATATTCCGATTTAAAGATAACTCTCGGTCCCAAAAGAGATTTGTGAATATATTATACCCTAACTTTTGATATTCTAAAAAAAATTTGTCGGTATCAACGAAATTTTTGAGATTTGTAGAAAGTCGGATTGTTTTACCACTATAATGAAAGATGCGAGTGGATTGAAATTCTATACACTTGATTAGAAATAAATGTCTAAATGGAACAATATTTAAGTTCCGACAAAACCAACTCCGGAAATAATAAATGCAACAGCCTGCATGAAAAGATAAATATACAACAATGTGTGTCCAAAGACAAGATTGTAGCAGGCACAACACAATATGTATATTCCCACCATCATCTCCTTTGAATTTATTCTGCAGCAAAACAAACTCTCTCACCAATTAGTATCCTTATTTGAAGATGAATCATATAAAAATACAAGTTAGATTCATTTTTGCTTATGTTGACTTGTTTTTGTGTGCTTGTTTGGTTAATTAATTACCTTTCGAGAACCCCATTGCGAGGCTTTTTCACTTGAAGTAACTTAGTCTCAAGAGCATCTCCTAATTTCTCGGTGACGACCCATTCGTTCACTCTTCCTCCTTCTAGTAAACCGATGAAAGTTCCTTTGGTCCGATGCATAGCCATTACATTCTCGAACAATACCCAAAAAATCACGAGGTAGAACGATCTACATGCATTCCGATCGATACTATTCGTAAATAAGACTTCAATTGTTTAACAGTACTTATTGCGTGAACCATTATTTTAAAATCACATTTTCGAATCATAAAAACCTAAATGGTGC